GGGGGGGGGTTGGGGGGGGGAGAGTTGCCTATTGCAATGTTGTGCGAATGTCCGGGTGCCAGTGAGTGTGCCAAAGAGAGGCTCATCAGGGCTTAATGAGACATTCCTTGGCCTTCTTTACCCTACTGAAGACTACAAAGTGTAAGTCTTGCATAACCTCTGTCTGCCAAAATGATGGAGTGAACGAGGACGGGAAACGTAAAATAACTTTAAATAAGAAATTTAATGAGAAGTGAAAGGGGAGAAAACAAGAAAAAAAAGGGTAGAATTGATCAAATCGGAATGGTAAATTCGGAGGCAAAGGAAAATTTGGAAATGCTGAAAAAAAGAAAAAAGGCTTAAGAGCAGAAAAGAAAGCTAGAGACTCGTGTCACTCAACTCGGGGCACGTCAAGAAAGTCAAATAGCATATAGGGCGCAAGGGGGGGGGGGGAAGCAGAGGGTGCTGCCTTTTTTTATTTTTTTTGGTGGGGAGCGACACGTGCTGGGAACCGAGCCCAGCGTCCCATACGAAATGTACGTCAATCTGGAGTACCGGGGCCATTACCCGGCTTCGGCTGTGAAAGGCAGCTCCTTTCTGCTGGAAACCGGGTCCAGCATCCCATCTGAGTAATTTCCAAAGGCAGACCAGGCATCAAGGAGCAAACCAGAACCCTCCGAGGGGCAGCGGCAGTCCTCCGTGTCCCCTCATCCTGTCCCTGCCTTTGCGATGAGGCGTGGGCTCAGTCTTGAGCCAAGAGAAGAAAAAGGACACCTAGTGCTGGAAAAGTGGGTCCAGCGTCCCGTACCACTTTCTAGGCAGATTGCCTCAACACATGACCGCTATTTAATATCTGAAAAAGTGGCTGCGGCCGCTAAGGCCCTTACACCCCTCCCCTGTCCCGGAAGGACCTCCACGAGGGACAGAGGGTGCGGGGGAAGGGGTCGGGTAAGTCCGATGGTGGCTTCAGAGGAATGACGGGGCTCACCGCTGTCTAATCGCGAAAGTGGAGCTGATAGGGCGTGCCACCTTCGTTAGGGTTCATTTAGGGCTTCTAGGGCTCAGCAAAAAAGTGTTGAGGGATGGGGGGAGCAGATCATCTAAAGCAGAAGGGTATCTGCTGGAAAACCGACAAATGCTGCAAAAGCTGCTCTGTCACCCGTCATGTTCATCAATCCTGCACAAAGGAGAGTGATGTTTTCTTCTTCTTCTTCTTCTTTTGTCCTTTTTGCAAAAGCGTTCTCCTTCTGCTCTGGGGAGCAACAGCAGTGTCAGCCACCATGCATGTAAGAGAACTTACTTCATACGAAGAATGAAACATGCGCAGTCCAAAGGATTCGCTTACGATAGCCGATAGAAGTTTGGGGATGTAGGTAAATTTGTCTGCGCCTCCTGGTACAGGTCTTTCCTGATCTTTAGTATTCCTCTGCATGGATCTGAGTGCGTTCGAGGCTGCAGAAAAGAAGGGCACCACACCACACCGATGATCTGTGCTCGCCATTTGCATGGACCCGACTGTAGTTATGAATCCATACTTTCTCGCCTGACACCTCCTCCGCGCAGGCGCGGGTTCGAACTGGTGCCCTTGGCCACAAGAGCCAAGTCTCTTAACCACTACAGCCAGGACACGGCGTTCAAAAGCGGAACCATACCGGTCGCGACTGTGCCTTAGCTGTAACACAACAGGAAAAAAGAGGGACACTGCATACTACCAGCAGTTTTAAACGACCAGTATGTTTCCCAGCCATTTTTCTCTGACGCAGCCGTGCATGCGCCACAAATTTCGGGGCACGACCTACCGGAGCTTAATGGTTGGTGGCCCCAGCTGAAAATGAGAACGTGCCTCTTCCTTTTTCGTTTTTTAAACTTTTTTTGGGGTGCGCAGGGCGTTTCCGATCTCGGCAAAGAGAGGTTCATAAGTACTGGTAGTTCAAGTGTATCCTTCAAGGGCCCAATCCATTTGCTTCCGTTCCGTTGGAACCCGGGTCTCTATTTCAGCAGTTCAGGAGTGTACCATACCAACTGACCCTTTTCTTTCCAGGAACACTTCCCTGACCCTTTGCAGTACATGCAGAACTTAGGAAGGACATGCGTAGGTAGCAATGTAATGATGTGGGGCAGAGAAAAAGAAGGAGAGGGTAGCATACCTCAATGAGCATCTGTGCCGGCCCTGCTGCGTCAACCGGGTGTTCATTAGCTCCTTTTTTGCATGGAGAAGAAACTTCCTCGTTGGGAATTGCCACGCCAGTGGGTAGTCCAGCAGCAGAAAGGCGATGAAAGTGTTTGTGCAGAAATTGATTGTATTAGTCGTGGGATTGTACTCGACATTCTTGGGCGATTTGCCCACTTTGCTCCACTGTATTAACTTAACATTTTCTTAAACCACTACTGTCTTCACCTGAATAGAAAGCCCGGTGATTATCGCTGCACCTGGACTGAAAAGTGCCCCAAATACAGCTATAATGACAGTGCGTAATATTCCGGTGAAGACGGTACTACACCCAGGCCTGGAGACGCCTTACTGCATGCCGAACTTTCCAAACCGCCAGTGGCACACTTCTTTTTCTTGGTGGCTAGCGCCGCCAGGCCAGGCAATGTGGTTCGGTAGGCCGAGCCATTGCTACGGGGCAGTGCCGACGAGTTGCCTAATTGTGCAAGGCTGGGTCCGTGTACTGGCGGTTTCATGCATGCCTGTATGCAAGATTGCAAATGCACTCTTCCTTCGTTAATTTTGCTAAGATGATTGTCCTTCGGAAGTAAATGTGCTGATATTACTTTCCTACTTAGTCTGCTAAGATCATTGTCCTCAGTAACAGTACCAATATCTACAAGTCGTTGTTTCCAAATACGATTGTTTGTTAACATTTCTTCTAGTCTGCTAAGATGATTGTCCTTAGTGTGTTTATTCTGTTTGGATGATTGTGTGTGTGACAAGACGTCGGCAGTTTTCAAGTGTGTGGTGTTTCAGTGGACTCTGTAAACTTTTCAGTGCAATGTTTTTAAAAAGGAAGGCTTGTTTTTGCCTTGCAGAAAGTTTGGGCTCATCTACCTGTTCTTTCAATCTCTCTGTTTCCCTTTGTTTATTTCCCTTCACTTGTTTTGTAACTGTGTACTGAAATGCAGGTATGGATATATGAGCAACACGAAAGCGAAATTCGTCCTGGTTGTGGATGATGCGGACGTCAGAGATTCAGACATCCGGAATGTAAGTGCTTGGTTCTGCTCTGCATTATACTGCTATCTCATCTTCCATTTTTTGGTTTCCATTGTTATCACACTACTCCCTCCCCAGCCCTCCTCCTTGTGCCCTTGGAAAGAATGCGGGGTCTCGGGGCAACTTTTGGCCCTGATGCGGATATTGGAAGGATATCACCACTGCAGCCTTGGTCCCTGTATCAGTTCAAGTCCCAATTCCCGGTCTTAGCGTCAGGCCCAGTCGCATGTACCATATTCCAGACTCCTAGGTAAGTTAACGTCAGTAGGCTGCAGATAGGAAGATTTCAGTAGGTCCCAGTAATGGTAGGGGAAAAAAAAAAAAAAAAAAAAAAAAAGGGTCTGTAGAAAATTACTAGAAATCATTAGGACCTTTTTGTCAGCCGGGTCGGGTCCAGTGAGCATCGAAGTCCCAGGAAAGTCCACAAACTTCCAGAAATCACAAAACATCGTCAGGGTACATGTCCATAACTGGTCTGTAAAGTTTGGAAGGCGAATCGTGAGCTACAAAGTCAAGTCGTGGAAGTCGTTAACACGTATTCACTTGTGAGACCATGTGGAGGCGCTGCTGAACTGTTTTGGGATGTTCTGAATATGCACTGCTTCTTGTTGGTAGTTGGTAGTCGATGGTGCTGGGCGCCATAGCTAGGATGAGTGCACATGATCGCGCGTGCACGCACGAGAGAGACAGACAGACAGACAGACAGACAGACAGACAGACAGACACACAGAGAGAGAGAGAGAGAGAGAGAGAGAGAGAGAGAGAGAGAGAGAGAGAGAGAGAGAGAGAGAGAGGTATTCAGAGGCAAGAGACCTTGGCCAGAGAAGTCAATTTGAGGGAGAGGGTGATCATACCTGAGAGAGCTTCGTGGCGGCCATAGCCGCATCTCTGGTACAAAGACAATTCTGTGTAGTTGAGCTGGTTGGCGGAGACTATCTTCAAGTTCTTCTCCCACTTGCTTTGTGAGGTCTGTGTGTGTGCTATATGGGGTGAGCACGGTGTGAAAGTGTCGTGTATGGTCGATCTCAAAGCAATTGGTGGCAGAGCATGCTCTTGTTACCTCTGGTAAGCAGGCACACGTGGAAAGCTAGTGGTCCCCACCCGGTCCTGAAGACTGCTGCATATTACTTGTTGCTGCTACCCTGTGATGGGGCCTCGGCTGCCCGGTGCTGTCCTTTGTCTGCATGGCACGAAACTGGGAAGATGCCGATGATCAACCGATGATTGCGTTCTAACCAGTGAGCTGTTGGCACTGCAACTCTGATTAAGAGTGATTGATTAATGGAAAAACTAACAAATCTAATGGATGTCTGAGAGCACTCAATGTCCTCTCTTTTGTGTTTTCGCTCACTCATCCTCGTCCAGCTCAACCTGAATTGCTCTTAGCGATCTCCGTGGCCAGTTGACGTTGTCCGATGACAGTCAGACTCACAGCCACTCGATGTTACTGTGCCGTGGCCAGCATCGTCAATACTGACGTCCAGAACTTCTGCTCTCACAATACCTTGTCCTAGGCAGTGCTTTCCAGCGAGTCCCCTACACAAAGGGCTTCTCTCTCCATGTCGTGTGGTTCCCAGGCTTCAGGCTACAAAGGCCATCTCTATCCTTCTGCAGCCTTCTTTCTAGGTCGCACTGCGCTAGACTCCTCCATGGACTCGCCAAGACGAGAAATCAAAGAACATGAATGGATGAAATGGCCTCGTTATGTGCTACTGTGGGGATTGATAGCTTCTGCTACTTCTCTGCGACAGTGGACGAGCACTCAGTGGTGAGCTATTTCCGCCATCAATCCACTTTGTTCCCTGCTGCGTGCGCTCGCCGTGACTGAGTGAGAGAGGCTGAAGGAAAACGCTCTTGCAAGCGCGGCTTGCGGGCAGAGCGGGCCTAAGTAGATTTGAACTGCTGACTTTACGCTTATCGGGCGTATAGTCTAACCACAAGCTATAGGCACATGCTTGGCTGGATTTGAACTCTCAAACCCCACATCCGTAGTTCGGTGCTCTTATCCAATTGAAGCTGCGAGCACTGTTTGAGGTCTGGCTCGTCTGGGGGCGGGTATAGGACAACCACTTTTCCATGCCGCAGACACGGATTCAAATCCTGTGAGGGATATCATCCGGTCTATTTCTGGGTAAACATATCTTCGAGCACAGTTTGAGGTCTGCTTCCCTCGGAAATGTGGGAAAATCATTTCTCAGACTGTGCTCGCAGCTTCAATTGGATAGAAATAGACCGGATGATATCCCTCACAGTTTACAGTGACTGTACGTTCGATTTGAGGGATATCATACGGTCTATTTCTGGGCTGGTAGGCATGGTAAAAAATACCGCACTGCCACTGGACTCTTATCTGCTTCCCTCAAATCGAACGTACAGTCACTATAGCTGTATTGTGGGCAACTTTCAGTCCAAATACGGCGCTAATGTTCTGGGAAAGATGGTAGTCCGCTGAAGTACGAGTTATGAGTCTGATCATGTGAGGTTTTCTTTCGGCTCTGATCATGTGAGGTTTTCTTTCGGTTCTGGGAAAGTCGTGAAAATGCAAATTAATAAATATTAAATTCTCTGTTTTGAAACTCTGAGACAACTGGCTGCGGCGTGTTTGTTTCGTGCTCTGTTTTTTTTTTTTTTTTTTTTCTTCCGATCCTGCGAAACGTCCATCAGTTCTTCCAGCGGTTCCATGCGGCCTATGTGGATGCTGCCTCCAACCCCTTCCATGTGCCGGGGAAGCGGATCGTCTCTCCTTCATTTGGTCAGCAGGTCAGCACACTTGTGAAGTCTTTTGGGGCGAACGCTCTATCCTGAGAAAGGCGGGCTAAGGTGGGCTGATTTTTTTTGCATGAGAGATTTTGCCTGTGTGCCTCTTTCTTGTGTGTTGTTTAGGTTGTGTTGTTAGCTCTGCTGAGAAATCTTCTCCGAGTCGCCGAAATTTGATAGTTGGAATCCTCCAGCAGCAGTTGTTGTGAAAATTGGAAATCGCAAATCGTTCTTTGTTGTATATCGGAAGAGCTTGCATGCTGCAGGTCTGAAATCTACGTCGTCATTGCGAATTCTCCGAGTCGCCGAATTGTAGTAATAACATTTTCTGAGAAGAGGTCATTCTGATGGCTGCGCTTTTCTGATGCAACAGTCTCCAGATGTCTTCCTCATCATTCTCCATGTTCTCAGATTCTCTGGGCGAAGCCTGTGTGTGAGAGCGTGGGTGTGGGTGGGTATGCCTGTGAGTGTAATGCTGTGAGTTCCGTCTCTGGACTTGGATCTCCTGGTTCTTGCTAAAGTAAAGGCATTGGGAGTCCATCCATCATTACATACTTTTATCAGCTGCGGACGACTGTCTTGCCCGCGAGTCCTCGGTTCTGTTGTACTCGTGGCCCTACCATCTGTGCATCTGGGCAGCCTTGTTTTTTTGCTCTGGGTTTAAAGTCTTTTTCACCCCCGACAAAGGCTACCACGTATGGATTTTGCCGGCGTTGCACGGTGCCATCCATCGGATGGAAATATGTGGAGCGTTTGTTTGATGTAAAATTTAAAATTTAAAATTTTTCCTTTCGTTGGGGGGAGGACTTCATCTCAGTCATGCAATTTCCGTTCGTTTGATGCGTCCGATGTCAAAAAGGGACAAAAGTAAGAAACAAAATGAACAGTCTTTTGCCCGGACCGCGTTGGAAGGTGTTTCAGGTGCTCGAACAACGGGGCTCTGTGTTTTGCCGGGGCTGCAGCGGCTGTTTTCTTTTCATTGTCCATAGTCTGCAGCCGTGACAAAAAGATTTCATTCGTTGCGGTTGTTTTTGTTGGTTTTTTTTTGTTGGTTTTTGTTGTTTTTTGTTGTATTTTGTCGTTTTTTGTTGTTTTTTTTGTTGTTTTTTGTTGGTTGTTGTCGGGAGTTTTGTTTCAAGTCAAACCTAGGGGATTCATCCCACCATTCACCAAACGCCAATATTCTTGATGTATTGGGACCTGTCATAGTCCGGATACATTCGAAATGTTGGTGTTTGGCGAGTGGTGTGGCTAGGCCTAAAGACAGCTGGCGCACCCATGAGCTGGTGGAATACAGACCTGAGCTTGAATCCAAATGGAATGAATTACCTGGGCCTGGTCCGCTCGACAGTGATATCTCAACTCCTCAAGGCTGTCGCCATGGTCGAAAACAACTCCTTCGCTGCCACGCGAAGTCGCGGACCACATCCAAATTTGTGCCGTTGCAGTATATTGTGACACATGCATCACCCACGCTCACATCGCAATGATGTCACTTACTTGCCTCTGCCGAGTATCGCCACAGACACTCGCACTTCATTAGCAGGTAGAGGGACTCACGGAGTGAGGGACAGACCCTGCAGGCAGTGTAGGGGGTTCGCAGGCATGGATCGAGCAGCGCGAGGCTTATCCCTCCCTGTTCACACACATAGTAGTTGCCTGCTGCGGGTGGTTCTCGCTGGCAGGGGGGAGAAAGAGGCACACAGAGGGATTGGATTACCTCGAGTCATTCACCGAATAGAGGAGGCGGCCTCTCCCTTTTCTTCTCGCATTCGCTGACAATTGTTCATGGCTCTGCCTTCTTATGATCAACGTTTTTTTTTTTTTCTCTTTGAAGACATTCTTCTGTTGTCCCTGCCGAATTTTTTTGAGTTTCCGGAGAAGTGCAAGGACATGAGTCATGCGAATGACAATAAAGTTTAATAAACCAGATTGCAGCACTCCATAGAAATCCAGATGACTTTGAGCCCAAACTGAAAGCAGATTGCAACACAAGATAACACCAAACAAAGCGTCGAAATCATTTGATAATGACAGCCCTCTTCTCGCCTCCAACACCAATGTCAACAATGTCGCTCTCCTATCTTGGCGCTTGGCGCCCAGACTACGGACAGAGAGCTCCTATCGACCTAGACTCCTATCTCCGAAAGGTCTGCAATGAAGAACATCTGCCCAATGACGAATATATAGACTCCGAGTGAAACGACCAGCTCCTTCTCCAGCGGTAATCCGCCGCTTCTTCACGTCGCACCTTCTCCCTGTCTTTCTGCATAGTCGCTCCGGCCAAGGACCTCCACCTTCCTCCTCCGGCTATGGTGCCAGCTTCCCGTCTATGGCTGTTGTGCCCTTCCTGCTGTGCCCTTTCCTGACACCCCCTTAGATAGAGTAGGACTCTAGCTGCTATCTCCCGCAGATCGCTATTCTCGCTTTTGTTCAGCACTTCATAGCTAGAATTCACATTTGCCACCTTCCCCGGCATTTTCTCACACCGGTTCCTCACGCTCGTCCTGTTCGACAGGCCCTCGCAGTGTCTTCCTTGTGCCCCGCTAGCACCCTTCTTCCTCCTCTGGCTCTGCTCTCCTCCAGCAAGTGAGCGCTGCAGCAGTGCTGCCGCCGTCCAGCCAGCCAGAACGTGTCGGATGAGCCAGCTGGTCTTTCGTTTGTTCTCGGTGGATGGGCATTGCAGGCCTGGACTGGGCGGCTTTTGTCCCAGTCGCTGCGGCCAGGGCCCTTCCAGAATGTGCCTGGGGCTCAACTGTAAGTGCCCTCGGCCTCAGCATCTTCGCTGGGCCTCAGGATCTGCTAACCAAGCTACTCAGATGTCGGAGATGCTGTGTGCAGCAACCAACCCATGAGCCCCTTTCTCCTCGCATTGGCCTCAGGCCCACCTTCACTTAGGGCGGGCGCAGGCTGTTTTCAGCATGTCGAGGGCCCTGAGTCCTTGCAGAATGAAACATGGAGAGAGAGAGAGAGAGAGAGAGAGAGTGAGAGAGAGAGAGAGAGAGAGAGAGAGAGAGAGAGAGAGAGAGAGAGAGAGAGAGAGAGACGGGGGGGTGAGGATGCATTGGGCAGAGCCGTGCTTCATCTGTGCTGTTCGTATTTCGTTTTTGTGTTGGTACATTTTCTTTTCCAATTTTTTTGCTTCTCCGTGTGATTCCTTGGATGTACTTTAGCTTCATCTGCTTTCGATTTGTTTGTCGTGTCTTCTGTGCATCCTTCATCTATTTCTGTTTATATTTCGTTTTTGCGTTGTGTACGTTTTCCATTTTTCGCTTCTCCATGTGATTCCTTCGATGCATTTATTTTATTTTATTTTTCTAACCCAACCATGCCAATACACACTCCTGCCCCTTCTATTCTGGGGGGCGACAATCCGGTTGCTTAGTACCGGCAAGCATGAACCAATGCTGCAGACGAGAAGAAAAAGGGAGCGGCTCTGCCCCGGTACGAGACACGTTGGGCAGTGAGCCATCGTTGCACCATAGAGGATGGCAGCCAGACTTTCATTCGCTCGGCCCCTTCTAGCCAGGAGACGCTCCGCGTACCCAGATGCTCAGGAGGGGGTGAGGTCGTGATCATCTCTTCCTCTGTGATGCCAAAATGCTCCTGCTGGTTGTCCTTTCGGTTTGTGAGATTTTGGTCACTGTTGTACCATTTTTTATTTTTTTATTTTTATTTTTAATTTTTAATTTTTAATTTTTAATTTTTTTATTTTTTTGGGGGGTACTAGGGCTGGGGGACATCAGGGCAGCGGTCTGGATTTGGCCAATTCTGCCTCTGAATGAATTTGCCCAATACCTACACTTTCCACTGGGTGAAGGCCCTGGCATTTTGGATACATTTCCGGGTTGTATGTTGAGAAATTCCCGGTGTAAGGAATATGAGTGAGAGCGATAGACAGAAACCCATGTTTCAAAATCACGAAGTTAACTCCTGATAGTCATGTACCAAGCCGAAAGCACAATGCACCAAGATTCCATCCACATAAGAGCAATACAAAGAGCTCAAGTGCCAATGCCGTCACTCCTGGTCACATCAGCACTGTATCCAAATCTCGCTCCTACTGTCTGGCGCTCAGCGACCAGCCTACTCTACTCAGCCTATCTAGCCTATCTACGTTCAAGTGGCGGAATCACACCGAAGTCGAAGACAATGTACGTGACGGCAACACCAATGCTGACCACCAGCATACACCAGGTACCCTCTCTCCTCCCCTCATCACCTCTTGATCACCTCCTCATGCGCCTTCCACCCGAAGACCACTATCGCCATCACCTACCAATCCTCAGAAGCGATGATATGATATAATATGCGGCGTTTCCTAGGAGGACGACATCCATTATGTGGCGTTGGAGTTACATCACTAATCTTAGTTATAATCAGACCTCCGAATTGTAAACCATGTAAGGCCGAAGGCTTTCCATAGTCTAAACCTTAGTTAAAAAAAAAAAAAAAAAAAAGACCATCATAGACCAAATTCCAAACAATCTTATTTAATTGAAAAAAACTGCCCAAGGAAATAAAAAAGTAACTTCTAAATATGGGATCAAAAGTTCCACTGCAACGGTTTCCCGTTCACCCGTCCAGTCTACTATGGCTGCTGTGCGGCCGCTAGCGCCCGTGTGCGCTGTCGCATTTTTTTTCTAGTCAGACCACTACTGGCGACCAGAAAGCCAACAGGCTGTCGCGCAGGATTTTGTTTAATTTTGCAATAAATAAATTAATTAATTAATGCATATCTACCTGTTGTGTGCGTCCGGCTTCGAGGGAGACCCTTCAATTGCGGTCGACGCCGGGCCCCGGTCTCAGGAATCTTTGATTGTGATCCAGAACAGCAACGATCATACAATTACAATAAAATGAAAATTAAATATGTCATGCAGACTCATGCTCGTATGAAGTTTGTCAATGTAGGAGTTTGAGAACTGGGACAAGGTCAACAGAGAACGCAACATCAAGCAATGCCAATGAAAACGAATTAGGACTGACCGACTCCAGGCAAAGACGAGGGCCATCGCCCTGTTATTATTTCTTCTCTTTTCAAATCGCAACTGGTAACCCAAAAGCTCGCTAAGGTTATTTTGCCAGAGTTCCGAGACTTGATCTTTTATAAACGATCACTCGAACCACCCAGCAACCTATATATGATGACCAGGAGGGCGTAGCAACACTCTTCTCTTCATTCTAGCCACCCAGCAACCTATATATGATGACCAGGAGGGCGTAGCAACAAACTCTCTCTCTCTCTCTCTCTCTCTCTCTCTCTCTCTCTCTCTCTCTCTCTCTCTCTCTCTCTCTCTCTCTCTCTCTCTCTNCTCTCTCTCTCTCTCTCTCTCTCTCTCTCTCTCTCTCTCTCTCTCTCTCTCTCTCTCTCTCTCTCTCTGTGTGTGTGTGTGTGTGTGTGTGGGATTCATGGGGAAGATCGGGATGGTTGAGGATAGGACGGCGGTAATTCAGAAGGCGATCATGATGCACGTGTGGGACTATTGATTGGCCGGACACGGGATGGATGGCGAACGTGGGCGAACGTGGGTAATTCAGAAAGCTCATAAATTTTCTACAAGCAATTTCTTCTGAAAGAATTCCTTGAATAACCTTGTGAGGCAGCCGCCAGGCTGTGGTAATGTCACCTTCTATAACCCAAGTCGCACTCTTGAATGTTCGGTCTACCTGGAGTATTGCACGCTTCGCGTGAGAACAGTCCAGAAATTCCGGATCGTATATGCTGTCCAGCACCACGGTGAGGGCTTTCTGTACGATAAGATAAGGCCACGCTTGTGGCTTTGGCAGACTCTCACGTGTACCCAATGTTCTGTATACACTTTCATGTCCCTATCGTCTTTGCTTTTTTGAAGTTCTTTCCTTTTTTTTTTTTTTTTTCCCGATGGTTACCAGGAA